AACCCTAGCCCTGCTCCCTCGCCTTCCCCTGGCCCGGGTCCGGGCCCCGGCGCCTCGGAGAGGGTGGCACTCAAGAAAGAGATCGGGCTGCTGAGCGCCTGCACCATCATCATCGGTGAGCAAGGCCTGGGGCAGACGGGTGGATGGACCTTGGGGTGGCAGGGCTGACGGCTGAGGGTAGGAAGCGCCCCTTCTCCGATGCTCCTGCCGCGGTGGCGGGAGAGCACCTGCGCTGTGCCTCCTGGACCCTGCACTGACTCGCACACTGGACAGGCGCTGTGTGGCCTCGTGCTCACGTTCCAGCCACCCTGAGCACTTGCCCCTTGGGGAATTCTGCTCCCCTCCACCTCTGATCTTCCTCCTTTACTCCCCCTTGGGGCTTTGGCAAGTCAATTGCCCTGTGTCCTCCTCTAGGAAACGGAAATAATGACTACAGTCCTGATGGTAGGGCAGGAACCTGACAAGTGCTGGGCTATGGGAGGGCCTGAGTCCCTACTGAGTGCTGGCCTAGATGGCATGCACTGGGTGATCTGTTCTTAGAAAGCAGGAAGGGCTGTAGGTAGACTGGCAGGTGGAGTCTGCACAGAGGATGAAGCAGGTTCAGGAGAGGGAGAATAGCCAGTGACTTGGTGGCAGTGGTGGGCAGGCCAAGCCTGCAGGAGGGCCTGGCTTTCCAATCCCAGCTTCCCCCTTGAGACTGGGTCTGTTCGTCCAGCCTCCACCTAAGGGCTTCTGGGTAGGGAGAGAATTCAGGGATATGATAGTGAGGTTCTACTCCCCCTGTCCCAAGTCAGGAATAGTGATTCCTAGGAAACTGGGCTAACCCAGACCAAGTACCTCTGAGCCTCTGAGCCCTCCTGAGAATGACATTTTCTGTCCCCTGTGCCCGGGAGATAGGGTGTGGGGGATGGATAACTCTTCCTCACTTTCCCCAGCTAGCAGCAGCTGCTTGTACACATACTATCACCTTCCCACCCTCAGAGCCGTGGACACAGAGAACACTGAGAGGCTCTGCGGGACAGACCCAGAGTCTCCACTTTCTCCTGCTCTGTCCCCATATTAGAAGCTCCTGGGCCAAAGCTAGCATCTGGCTCTCAGCCTTGCTCTGCCTTCACGCTGAGAGTGGCCCAGGAATCCAGCCCTCAATAGGTGGCTGTACTGTCTCCCCATTCCTCCTAGAATGGCATTTTTCGGGAGCTGATGTGGTCCTGGGAGCTTCCAGGCCTGGGTCCCCTACCTGGCTGTTGCTGGAAGGAAGGGCTGATTTGGAGCCGCTCTGCCATGGCCCATACCCTCTCCGAGAGCTGTTCCCCCCAGAAGGGGAAGCCCACACATCATGGGTGGGCCAGGGTTGTTAAGAGACAGACTAATGTCTGGAGCTGGCTGCATGCAAGCCAGGGGCATGGAGGCACAGCTCCTCCTGGGCTGCCTCAGTGAAGCTCAGCATCCCGGAGCTGTGTCCTACCCTGTGCCTCCCCACATCCCATTCACCTCAGGTCAAGCAGAGGCTGCCAGGCTTCCAGCCCTCCAGAAGAGGGTCCTGGAGGTGGTGGGAAGGGAGGAGGCTAGCTCTACCACCATGCTTCTTCTGGACAGGCCCTGGAAGAGTTTTTCTCTTCTAGCCCACATGTGTCTCGTCAGCTCCTCACCCTTCAGTCCATTCTTGCCTCACCGTTTCCCCTTGGCCTCCAGATCTTGAAGTCTGAGCTAGGGTGACAGGCAATTTGGCCAACCAAGGATGGTGAACTTGGGAACAGAACCCAGATGACCTAACACGCATCTCATGGCTCTTAGTGCTAGTCCTATGAGCCCAGCTTGTAGAGCTATGAAGGGTACAGCTGGCAAGGGGCTGTGGACAAGGAACGAATCGTCCTCATCTAGAATGTGACTGAATCTGAGGGCCAGATGGTCACTGCCCTCCCACCCGACCCCCCGAGGGACTCACCCCTCTCCACCCACTGCTCTGGGGAACCACCCGGCTTCCACTCCTGGGTGAGCTCATTTCCTTTCCATCCTGGGAGACCTGATCAAAAGCAAAAGCCTGCAAAGTGTCATATTTTAGCACGTCAGACTTTGAGAACTTTACATCTGGCCCCATAATCTACTGTCTTTTGGTACCAGTTACTGGGCTGGCACCAGAATTTCTAAATAGATACTTACTCCCAGAAGATCTTATCATTTGTTACTCCTTATATTGTCTGCCCCTTCCCAGGCTGAGAGGTGAATGCTCAGGAATGGAGAGATGGAAAGGCTGGCTATAGGCAGGAGTGAGATTCTACCTAAAATGTGTTTAGGACAGTGCTTGGTAGAGTGCAAAGCTGGAGCAGACTAGGCCAGGCTGGAGGAAGTAAAGGCAGCCGGGACAGGGCTGTGCAGGACAACATTGCCAGCTGTAGTGTCTGTTCAGGAAAATACCTTGTACTGCCTTAGGAAAACGTGTTTTTTTCTTCCTTTGAGTCTCATGCTCACTGTGGAGGATGGGAACTTTTGTGCACATTATGCAGATGTACACCCCAAGGTTGGAAGTTGAATGAAACTGCTGCAAGTGGTGGGCTTGGAATTGGGCACCGGATTTGGATTCAACTCTCTGTATAGTGCCTTCCATACTGCTCTGATGCTGGGCAGAACTGGGGCCAGACTCAGAGCCTATGATGGGAGAAGCTTAGGGATTGAGCTGGAAACTCGGCTAACCAGGGGGGACTGGGACCTGCACTCCATTGTGAAGGTACAAACAGATAGACGAAGAAGTCAGTCCTTCTGGACACACAGCCTCACTTGGGGACCTTGGCCATCTCCCTCAGTCCACAACCAAGGAAGAGACAGGCCTAGGTCAGCAGAGTGGGGTCACCCTGGACATGCTGACCAGGCTCTTCCTTCACCACTCCGAATGAGTCAAGTCTCCAGCTTTACAGATTGGTGAGGGACTTGGGTGGCTCCTTTATGAACCATCTCTCTAAGAACCAATTGCTGTTCAGCCAGTTTCAGCCAGGTCCCTGTCTGTGGCCTCCGGGCTGGAGGTGGCTGGGTTTCCTGGAGAAATTGAGCCTCTGTAGAACTCCAGCCCTTCCCCACAGGACCCCAAGGAGACATGAAACCACACTAAAGCTTTTCCCATTTATAAATGAGGAAACTGAGGACCCTAAACTGCATCCTGCTTAGGGCCAGATGCCCATGGGGTGCTGTAGGTCAGGGCAGCTCGAGTCACCACAATAGGGACTTGGATACATTCATCTATTCAACAGTGCTGAGCTCTGATCCAGGTGCTGGTCACCCAACGGGGCCGAATCAGAGCACAGGAGCTGTGTAACAAACAGGACAGACGAGCCAAGTGTGCAATCAACAGGTTGTGATCATTGCTGAGGCCAAACATCGGGCCAGAAGGAGGACCCAGAGAGCTGAGATTGGGGACCTGTAGGTCAGATGAGTCGGGGAAGGGATGAAGTTTGGCTTGTGTGGGGTTTTTCAAGGGGACTGTGCCTTTTTTCCTTTACAAAGTGGGAGTCCATGTGGGGCTTTGATCAAAAGAGGGATAGGACAGGAAAGGACTTATTTATGAACCATCTTTCATATGGAGAGGCTGTGTGGGTAGAGTTGAGAGCAGGAAGGCCAAGTAGGAAGCCTCTGAACATGAGGCAGTGATGGCTTGGGCCAGGCTAGCAGCAGGAAGTTTCGAGAGTGGCTCGGTTCTAGACATGTTTGGGATGTAAAGCCAGAGGGTGTGTGGTGAGCTGGATATGGGCTGTGGGAGAAAGAGGGGTCCAGGGCGACAGTCATGGCCTGAGCAGTGGGGAGGATGGTTTGACGTTGACTAATCTGGGAAGACTGGCAGAGCAGCAATCAGGGGGAAAGGAGCAGAAGCAGGAATTCTGTTTGAACACTAACATGTGTTCAGTGTGTGCAGTTCCTATTTGCTGGATAGATGGAGCTGTCTATGCCAGGGATATAAATTAGGAGTTGCCAACAGAATCCTCAAGAGGAATGACTGGAGAAAGGAAGGGAAAGATGACTGAGGACAGAATCCCAGACACCCAACATTTAGAAGTCAGGCAAGAAAAAGGACCAGCAAAGAATTCCAAGGAGCCACCAGCAAGGTAAAAGAAAGGCCAGGAGGCTGAGGGACTGACCAACCAGCCATTTGCCACATGAGTCACAGAACATGCAAGCCAGGGCTTGACTGGGGCTTGACGGTTGGGTTCAGCAAGCAGATCTCATGGCAACAATGACAAGACAGCCAGGGGATGGGGTGCGGGTCATGCTTGCTAGGCTCAGCTGGATGGGTTTGAGTGAGCCAGGCAGAGAGTCCACTTCTGCTCAGCCCCTCTCTCCAAGGGAAAACTAGTGTATCAGGAGGTGCACACCAGCCACTGAGCAATTCTAACCATGTCCTGGGTATCCCCAATCACCTCCTTGGGGTTCCACCAAGACCTTAGTGGGCATATTTGTCATTCCAGGCTTGCTAAGGGGACGTGAGGACATTCTTGCGCTTGAGGAAGGCTTCACTCAGGTCTGAGCAGGGTTCTGGTTGCTCACCCAGGGTGCTGGGATCCTATGGAAATCAGGTCTGCAAAGCAAGATCGGGTGGCCTAGAAGGTACCCAAGGTGAAAACATCAGTGGCCCATAAGCACCTCCTGTGGCCTATAAGTTGCCAGACAGGATCAAAGCCAGCACCAACCAAAAAAAAAAAAAAAAAAAAAAAAAAAAATCCCCTCCTGGCCATCTTCCAGGTACCACTGGAGAGAGGCAGGGTCCAGGATACAGATTCCAAGGTGGGTGGTCAGGGAGGGCTTTTGGGGGGGGCTTCAGGGAGGCCAGGAGAGGCCCACCACAGTGGGGGACAGGGGATCCTGAGTAGGCTGTGTCCCAGAGATAGCATAATTTAACACTTAGACCAGCTCTCTGCTGCCCCCTTGCCAAATAACTCCATCTGGCAAATGGGGAAAGGAGGCCCAAAAGGGCAGCATTAGCCTGAGGTCACAGAGCCAACTCCCAAATATGTTTCTAGGGATGGGGAGGGTGCCAGGGTTCCAACTTACCCGAACCTCCCTGATTCTCCCCAGAGGAGACAGGCACAACCCCGCACACATCACTGGCAGGTGGCTCATTCTGCAGACTTGACCTCCATGGTTCACACCTGTGACCTCCATAGTCTGCTTACTGCCTCCCAAAAATAGGTCAGCGTGCAATGCCACAGGCATAGGGAACAATGGTCCTTTCTTCATTCCTCCGAGGAACCAGGGTAAGCCCCATCAGGCCAAACATCTTAATGTGATAAAAAAAAAAAAAAAAAAACCACCCAGTGAAGGCTCAAGAAAAAGGGGAGAGAGGCAAAAACTCACCAGAGACCTACAAGTGGGGGAACTCATATCCTCACCTCTCTGGCCACCTGGGGAGACCTACAGGGACCAGACACCTGTCCCACTAGGCAGATGGGAATGTGGAGGCCACAGGACTCGGCTCTGCCCACAGCATCCTCCCTCCTTCCTCTCATCCTCGGCCTCCTGCCAAGCCCCTCACTCCTAAGGCTTCCTGCAGAGTCCCAGCCACATGGTGACCAGAGTGGCATGCAGTAGACTAGAATGAGATTTTTCTGCTAGACAGGTGCTGGAGGTTGTACAGGCCCAGAGGGAGAGGCCCTTGAGGACCTCAGACACTGGCTAGCACAAAGGGTGTCCTTGGAGCCACATGGGGAGAAGTGCTGAATGGTAGCTGGAGGCCATGTGTCCAAAACAATAGGGGTGCTCCCTGCCCCCCAGAGCCCAGTATCCAGGTCTCGGCCACTTGGCACAGGGCTAGTGATGTCATTCAGACCCCAGTCCCAGAAGACAGGGTGCCAGGAATGGCTTCCCCAAAGTCAGTACCTGTGAGACCTCACCAGGCCGGGTTGTATAAAGGGTGGGATCTCCACAGGGTGGGTGGCTTGGGGCCCTGGATGTCCCCCACTCCAACATACTCAGCTCCTTCAAGGCCACCCAGCCCCCGCTGGCTTCCAACCTCACTGGCTTTTGGCAAATCCTGCTCCGCCAGGTCCTGAGAACTGCTGCCAGTCAGAGCGAACTCAAAGGCCCTTGGAAACCCAACAGCCCACCCAGGCCCTGGGTCCCCTGTGGTAGAAGCAGAAAGCAGTTCCTACCCCCACCCCGAAGTAGAATGAGGACAAAGCTTACCTCTGAGGGCTGGAGCACAGGACTTATTTCATCCTTATCTGGATGTATTTAGGGCTCCTGGGATGTGACCAGAAAGCCAAGTGACCATCCAGTCTGGAAATCTGTGTCGGCCGGGGGTGGGTAGCACCATGACAAGGAGTGAATGCAGATTGGCAGTCAGAGTTGTGTCCTCGTCCAGCCCCGCCTGTGGCCTGGCAGGTGGAGTAGGCAGCCTCTGCTCTGATGGCAGTGTGACCTCGTCCCAGGGTTCTATCAGGTGGGGACAATTCTTGTCCCGGTCACACCAGTGCTGGCTCTTCTGTCCACATAGTTTGTGGATCTGCGATGCTGTGCCCACCCCGCAGCAGATCCCAGCACAAATCCCCTGGGTAGGTACCTGATTTTGTTTGCCCAGTCCATGAGAGCCGGATGACCTAGTCACAGCCCTGCTTTGCTGTAACTGAGGGCCCTATTCATCATAGACACCTGCAGATCACTGCTTGACCTCCTGGATATTTCCCATTGTTTGGCTGAACAGAGGCGCACCCTTTCCACTCCCAGACAACTGGTGTCTACAAGGGCACCCCTTGGCCTCCATCCTTTGAGGACTCAGAGGGACGAGTCTTTTCCCTTGAAATAGGACAGGCCTTCCAGAACCACAGCATATTTCACCTGCATGGAACCTCGGAAGCCGGCCTCCCCTCCTCCTCTCCGTCCCCCCAACAGAGGGACTGAGCAGAGCCTGCTGCCTTCACCTCACAGGCAAGAAAATGAGTCCTTCTCAAGCATGGGTGCCACTTCAGGCAGTGGCTTATTTATCTATTAGTTTATGCAACAGATGCTTACTGAGGCCCCGCGGCCACCTGCTGGTGAGGTGCAGGCGCTATCTGCAGGGCCACCCAAAGGAAGCTGCCAGCCCATCTCTGGGACAGCTGTGAATGAGCAGAGGGCTTCACAACTGTATCTCAGTAGGCCCTCACAACAACCCCATTTTATAAACAGAACTGGAGACGTGCGCAGGAGCAGGTCCTGGGCCTTCTGAGCTCAGCCTGAATTCCACGATGTGCAATCAGGGGAGAGGAACAGTCTGTCCAGACTCCGGGCTGGCTGGAGTCTGGAAAGCCTGCCATTGCCTCCCCTGTCCCTGCATTCATGGCTGCTGACAACATCCAGCCCTGAAAATGCACCATTCTCTCTCCCTAACCTCACTTGCCTTTGCCCAGGACTTGAGACGTTTTAAAAGCACTTTAGAGTCTCTGTCCACAGCCTGGGTTCCGGGTGAGAGGAAGAATCCCTGACAGGGAAAGGAGAGATAGAAGACAAAGAGATAAGTGCAGAGCAGGGCTGGGACCTGGGCAGAGGAGCTCACACGGGACACAATCAAGGGGGGTTCTATGGAGGAGGTGCAACTCCCCAAGCTTCCCCTTGAGTCTGGACTCTGCCCATAGGAGAGTGGCAGGCAGGAGAGTGGTCAAGCGCTCACTTTAGGAGGCCAGCTCTGGCCAGCAGCTTGCAGGGAGGACAGCCAGCTGGAGGCTGACAAGACTGAGGGCCTGAGCCTGGGCGACATGATGATAAGCAGGAGGGGCCACCCTCTGCTGTTGCTCAGGTGGCTGGACCACCTTGCCTTGCTGGCTCCACCTCACACGGAGAGAGGAGATGAGAGGAACTCACAACCCATTCTGGCAGGAGAGCCTGGCTGGCCAGACAAGCTGCCATTTCCCATGCCAAGGACTGATGGTGGGGCTGACGATGCACCCAGAATGGGCCATGCCAGGTTTGAGGGGCACAGTGGCAAACATACACCTGCTAGCCCGCCACCCTCTCTCCCCCCAGAAAGTGTCCAGGCTTCCTTCCCCACGGCAACATCCGGGCCCCACAGAGAAGGCTGGGCTGCTGCAGAGGACCCCAGGCCTGATGCCTCCCATCTCTCCCCTGCAGGGAACATCATTGGCTCGGGCATCTTCATCTCGCCCAAAGGTGTCCTGGAGCACTCAGGCTCCGTGGGTCTGGCCCTCTTCGTCTGGGTCCTGGGTGGGGGCGTGACGGCTCTGGGCTCCCTCTGCTATGCAGAGCTGGGAGTTGCCATCCCCAAGTCCGGCGGGGACTACGCCTACGTCACAGAGATCTTCGGGGGCCTGGCTGGGTGAGTGTGGGGCTCCGGTGGGGCAGGGGACAATTTCTCTGAACCAGGATGGCTATTGAACAGCGGGCCTCAGGTTCCTCCTCTGCTTCCCACATCACATGGAGATTATGAGAGTGAATGGAAAGGAGGCAGGGTACCCAGCAAGGCCACGGTGGGTGGCACCAGTGCCTGTCCCACGCTGCTGGTATTGCTGACCCCTCAGCCTCTCTTATCCCCTTTAAAACCGAGCTCTTTTTAAGCCCCCTGCACACCTGAGAGTTAATGAAGGAGGAAGACTTTTACTATCTGGAACCATTAGATGGCTAGCACCTAGGTAAGGAGAGCCTTGATGTAGTAAACCTTCTTTGTTTTATCATTTTTTAGTGTATATTTGCCATACATAATGATAATTCATAATGATATATTCATCATAGGGAATTTGTACCTATACATATCTTAATTCTTTCCTTTCTTTATTTTTCCTATTCTCCTTCCCTCCCTTCAACCAACTTTTCTTCCCCTCCCCATTTACAAAAGCTTTATTTCCATTTTTTCCATTCCAACCTCTTTTTTTCCTAATCCCCGTCCCTCCCTTCCATTCCCCCCACCCCCTCCCTTATTCCCAGTTGAACATGGCATTCTTACCTCACCCATGAATGTTTGCTGGGCACCCACTCCCAGCTAAAGGCTAGGGATGCTATGATAAAAAGATCTGACCCTAGCGCAGGATCCTGAGTTCCATCCCTGATACAAAAAAAAAATCTGTCCCTGTCCACAAGTTGCTCATAGAGCAGAGAGGAGCAGCTCCTCAGACATGTGACCTAGCACATCCTTGCTTTGAGGCCGGGTACAGGACACAGCAGTCACACAGCAGAAAGCCAAGTGCCCACCAACTAGGGAAGGCTCCCAGGAAAACTGTGTTTGCATCAAGTCTTTCAAAAAGGATTAAGATTTTCCTCCCAGGCTACGGGAGCACAGACAGAGGGTGTGATGGCTGAGGCCAGCACAGTCTGCCTGCAGCTACAGAAGGGTCAGGTTCTCGGCAGGCAGGGGCCTTGGCCACTCTTGTTCCACATGAGTCCTGTCAAGGGCCTCAAAGGTCCAGGCAGATTCCAGAATCACTCAGGAGCCTTGTTCAAGACATGGTAGCCAGTATGTCATGAGGGTTAGGTGGATGCAGTGGGGTGACACCTGCTGGCCCATTTCAGAGACACCATAGATAGTGTACCTGGGATGGGAGGGAGAGACCTAGGGTAGGGATGCTCCTGTTTGTGGCGTCTGTGCCATGTCTGGAGAGGTGCTTGGACGGAGGTTCAGAGGAAAGGTCCAGGCCAAAGTGCACAGAGTTGGTTCTGAGGGACTTGCGCCAAGGACCCTGAACAGGGAAGCTCTGGGTGTGGGTCCATGGCTGCTCTTGTCTGAGGAGAGGTTGGGTCTCTAGGAGGCAGAGCAATCACGCTGTGGACCTGGAAAGGCCACCTGGGGAGAAGGTGAGAGAGAGAAGAGACCAAGCCCCTAACCCATGTGCACCCACAAGGGAGGAAGATTATTGAGCCAGAATGTCCCAGGAGCCAAGGGGCTGGGGGGGGTACAAAGAAGGGACAGAGGATTTGGCTGCCATGAAAAGACTGAGGATCAGCAGGAGCCCATTGAAGTCAATCACCCAGAAGCTGCTGGCATCCCCATAGCAATTCCCACCCTTCCTCAAGGGTGGGCCAAGAGCTAGGACCACCTTGTGGATAGACCCTCCCCTGGGAACAGCATAAAGCCCCCAGCCCCCATGGGTTCTTGGCATAGTTGAAATTCTGGTACAGAGGGCATAAAACATGCCCCTCCCATAGCCAGGACCCTTCGCAAGGTCCACTCTGCAGGTCAAAGGACTCCTGCCTTTGGAGCAACCACTGTTAGTAATCTGCCACCTTGAGCTGAAAGCATGACTGTATATCCAAGACAGCCCACCTCAGCTCTGGACACAGCCTATGGTCAAGGGGTATAGGTGGTCATTAGGGAAGGGGTTTGGGTCCCTACATCCTTCTGAATACTTGCCTGAGATCATCCCTGCCTCCTCGGACTTGAGTGCCACACAGTCCCAGCACAGCCCAGCTCCCCATACCTGGCCCAGGTCACTGGGAGGGCTGGGAATGCCTGTGCCACTCTGGCCCTTGCTCCTTCCAGATTTCTACTGCTCTGGAGTGCTGTGCTCATCATGTACCCCACCAGCCTGGCCGTCATCTCCATGACCTTCTCCAACTATGTGCTGCAGCCTGTGTTTCCCAACTGCATCCCCCCGGCCACAGCCTCCCGTGTGCTCTCCATGGCCTGCCTGAGTGAGTCCCCCGGGAGCCCTGGCTAGACCTCTGCCCCAGAGCAGCCAGATGCCCCACCCAACCCTGCTGTCAGCCCTGGGGACAGGGACAGTTGAGTGGGACCCCCCAGCTGCCTATGACATCAGCCCCAGAACCTGAGGTCCCCACATTCCGGCTGATGCAGGAGATGTCCTTCTTTTGCCACCTGGGCTGGACTAGGCTGTGATTCACTGTGAGGTCAGCCTCAGATGCCCTTCCCTCCCCAGTGCTCCTGACATGGGTCAACAGCTCCAGTGTGCGCTGGGCCACTCGCATCCAGGACATCTTCACGGGCGGGAAGCTGCTGGCCCTGTCAGTCATCATCGGCGTCGGCTTTGTTCAGATCTTCCAAGGTAGGGCCAGGGCGGGAGTGTGGGTGTAGGAGACATCCCTGCCCAGTAATAGCGGCATCCACTTCCCCTGACCCTTACATGTGGACAGGGCAGGGCTGGCAAGACTGTACTGACTCCTGATGTCTGGACCTCTAGGACACTTTGAGCAGCTGAGACCCAGCAATGCCTTTGCCTTCTGGATGACACCTTCTGTGGGTCACCTGGCCCTGGCCTTCCTCCAGGGCTCCTTTGCCTTCAGTGGCTGGAACTTCCTCAACTATGTCACTGAGGAGCTGGTGGACCCTCGAAAGTGAGTGGGGCACCTGGCCAAGCACAGGGAAGGAGTGGGCCCATGGACAGGGGAAGAAGCTGGTGTGCACAGACCAGAGTCTGTGACTCTGACTGGCCCTCAGCAGACCTCGCTTGCTGTCTGTGGGAACGGCCCTGGAGAGGAAGAAGAATGCTGGTATGCAAGCCTGGCCTGGTCTTCGTGGCTAAAAGTGCACCAGGGCCCCTTACTGGACCTCAGACGGAAAGCCTGAGTATCCCTGTCCTTCTGTAAATAGATCCAGTGATTCGCATTTGGCCCAAAATTACACATATGCATGCACCATGGTCCCTACAGCTGAAGCCAATACTGCATCTGATGCCCATCCAGGGGTCTGGACAGGAAACTATTGCAGCTGAGCAGGCTGAATGGATGGGGAGTCCCAGGGAAAACCCTAGGCCTACAGACCAGTCTCTATGGACAGCAGGGGGATTTTCCAGGCTGATTTTGGCTTTACACAGTTTTCTCTTCATGTAGACATTAATTAGATCTTTCTCTCAGGATAGTGTTACCTCCTCTCTCATCTGCCCTTCCTTCTGCCAACCTGTGACCAGGAAGGCGTGGGGGAAAGGTAGGCAGCAGTGTCACTATGTCCTAAGCAGCAATGCTGCGCCCTTTTCTGCCCCAGGACCCAAGCGAGACCCCAGCACAGGAGATAGAGACTCAAAATTGCTCCTGTCGCTAGGCCCCCCAGCCCCTCCCCAAATCCCACCCCTCCCACGAGGGGCCAACATTGACATGCTCTGACTGTTCCCAGGAACCTACCTCGTGCCATCTTCATCTCTATCCCTCTCGTGACCTTTGTGTACACATTCACCAATGTCGCCTACTTCACAGCCATGTCCCCACACGAGCTGCTGGCCTCCAACGCAGTGGCTGTGGTGAGTAGGGGGCCCCCGCCCAGTCCCCAGCCCCTGACCTGGCTCCCACCTCAGCCTCACTCTCAGCCTCTCTTCTGTGCTCACTCAGACCTTCGGGGAGAAGCTGCTGGGCTACTTTTCGTGGGTCATGCCTGTCTCCGTGGCACTTTCCACTTTTGGAGGGATCAATGGCTACCTGTTCACCTCCTCCAGGTGACTGGGCCGGGAAAGGGTGGTGTGATGCAGCCAGGCAGGTGTCCTGGTGTGCACAAGCTGTGCTTTGGACCACCGGAAGGGAAAAATGGGTTGATGAACCTGCTGGTAACAAAGGCCTGATCCCAGCCCTATGGTGAAGAAAGTAAGAGGGAGGCAGGCTACGTGAAGGAAAGAACTGTCCAACAGGACCGCTAGGGTCTAGAGCAGGTCAGTGGTGACAGCTCGAGAGGGACATCAGGTCCAGAGCTGAGATCCAGGATCTAGCTGGCAGGGAGGCTCTGGCCCCTACCGGTATCTATCTCTGTCCCTACCCCCAGGCTGTGCTTCTCTGGAGCCCGAGAGGGGCACCTTCCCAGCCTGCTGGCCATGATCCATGTCAGACACTGCACCCCTATCCCCGCCCTCCTCGTCTGTGTAAGTTGGTGGGGGCAGGCCAAGCAGGACATGGATCCAGGGTCACCCAGTAATGTGGGACATTCTGGTTAATGGCAGGGATGAGTCCCTGTCTGGGCGGGCAGCATGCAGAGGGTGGGGGAGCGGCTGGGACCCGCCTGACCTCCCAGTGTGAGGCCAGCTGTCAGCCCCAGGTCCTCTCCCAGTGCGGGGCCACGGTGGTCATCATGCTTGTGGGAGACACATATACACTCATCAACTACGTGTCCTTCATCAACTACCTCTGCTACGGCATCACCATCCTGGGCCTGCTGGTACTGCGCTGGAGGCGGCCAGCGCTCCACAGACCCGTCAAGGTGAGGCCCCAGGCAAGAAAGGTTGGCTCGTGTGCACTCCCTTCACCTATGCCAGGCACCAGGGACAGGGGCAAGTGACAACAATGACAGTGACTGCAGCTTTTACAGAGTACTGGGCTTTATAGACACTGACATATTCACTTCCCCCAACAGCCTCACCAGGACAGTTAGAGATACTTTACTATTCCCAGTCTAGAGACAGGGAAAACAAGGCCAAGGCCTTTGCTCAAGATCAAACAGACTGCCAGTGACAGAGCCAGCCTCCCAGATCACACAGCAAATCAGAAGGCCATAAACCGAGTCCAGCCTGGGCAACTGATTGATTTAGCAAGACCCTGTCGCTAAGTGAAAAATAAAAAAGGGCTGGCTTGTAGCTCAGTGCAAAGGCATTGGATTCAACCCCCAGTACCAGAAAGCAAAACAAAAATCCCTATTTGTGTATAAATCCTTAAGTGAAGTGCTCAGTGCCTGAAATGTGAAACACCAAAAAAATACTTGACCTTCAGCCAAGCACAAGCAAGTCTGCATACAACTGCCTAGTGCCACTCAGAGCTGCTGAAACTCTTGACAAAGACTCGACAGTTCAGCCAACTGGTCAACCCATGAATTAACTTCCAGCACACTCAGCTGCTGCCAGAACAGGGACCCTGGAAGCCCCCAGCTCCTGGAAAAGGGAGGAAGCTCCTCAGACCCTTGAGGGTGGGGTAGGGCAGGAGAGCTGGGGATCTCGCACCATTGCTGGCCGGCCACCCTCCCCCAGGTGAACCTCCTCATCCCTTTGGCGTACTTGGTGTTTTGGGCATTCCTGCTGGTCTTCAGCTTCATCTCGGAGCCCATGGTCTGTGGGGTCGGCATCATCATCATCCTGACAGGGGTGCCCATTTTCTTCCTGGGAGTGTTCTGGAGAAGCAAACCAAAGTGTGTGCACAGACTCACAGGTGAGCCGGGCGGCCATGCTGAGGTCCAGGGCTTGGAGAAGGGGGCATGCTTGGACTCTTGGCCCAGAGCAAGGTCTTGAGCAAAAGCAGGGTGGATAATACAGAGCGCAGCTATTTCCACACATCTCCTCTGGATGTGGCCACAGCCCACCTGCAGAGGGAGCAGCTCCCTCAAGCCCTCTGCCCAGGGGTGGTGTCTATCCCCAGGGATCAGGTCCCAAGGTCCATCTGTCCATCCGTCTGTCTGTCTGTCTTCAGAGTCCATGACAAGCTGGGGCCAGAAGCTGTGTTTCGTCGTTTATCCTCAGGGCTCTCCCGAGGAGGAAGAAAATGGCCCCTGCCAGCCCTCCCCACTGCCCGCCGTGGACAAGCCCTTGAAGTCACAATGAGACATTTGTAGACATCGAAGCAGCTGTTTTGTTTACATGTTGTTTATTGAGGAGGTGTTTTGCAAAAACTTTTTTTCTGGAAAAAAAAAGATAGGACTCTTAGAGGCCTGTCATAAGGAAGCCCTGGTGATGTGGACAGGGCTTCCTATCTTAGCACTGCCCTGCTAGCTTTTCCTGAAAAGGCCTATGAATAAACAGGGCCAGTTTGCTTGTGCTCAGGCGAGTCCCTGGTGGACCCAGATGGGGGTAGGTGGTGGCAAACTTGGTGGGGAGCACACGCGTTGCTAGTTGAGGTGCCATAGCCAAGGAGGCCCTCGGCAGTGTGGGGCTCTGCTTCTTGAACTAGGGCTGGCTCCATGGGGCCCCCAAGCCACCCTGCCCCAAAGGGACAGTGGAGACGGAAAGTAGCTCCTCACCCACGTCTTTCCATGCCAACCTAGGTTCAGCCAACTGGGAAAGTCCAGAGAGTCTGGCTAGGATTATCATTCTTCCCTGAAATGACCACAGACTGAACATCACGATATCAAAGTTGGAGAAACAGATCTGAAGGCAGGATGACCACTGATGGTTGGAGCCTTGGCCTCTGTCTCCTGAGAAAGCACAGAACAGCATTTCTGAGGTCCTCTAACCCACACCCTCATTTCCAGCCACAGTGCCCAGAAGACTGACCCTGCAGCCAGAGGACAAAGGGCACCAGGCCCATGCTGCCACCACAGGCATAGGGATGGGGCAGAATCCTCCCAGCCCAGCTCCCCGGGGGCCCTGCTGGGAAAGACAGGAGGGCTCAGTGGGGACATAGCACTCACTGCGGCCAAGGCCCTACACGCCCCATGGCCCCTTTCACTTTTCACTACAGCTCCTGGCACAGATGGGGGAGAGGGAAGGCAGCTGGTGCCACCATGGGGTGAATGAAGCAAGAAGCCACACAAAACACTCCGTGGAGCTGTCTATCTCCCACCCACTTTTCTGGAAGTGAATTCCCAAGTTGGAGCTGGAGAGGGGTTAGGAGTAAGACCCCAAGATGCTGTGGACACTGTGCCCAAAGACATGCTCATCATGCCACCCTCTTCCTCTGGACAGCCCCCCACGTGCCCCGCTGCCACGTGCACCAGCGGTTTGCTGATGCTGCTGCTGGCTGAGGGCCCTGCTCCTCCCCTGGGGCCGTGGGCTGGCCTCTCTCTGTGAGAAAGGACGCAGAGGCAGGGTAGAAACGACTGTGTATTCCCTGGTTACAAAGTGGGGCTGTGGCGGTCATCAACGTGTCCTGTGGGTCAGCAGACCAGCAGGGCTTCATCGTCACTGGCCTCCAACATTGGGGAGCAGGGGGGCAGGGGGCTCCGGCGGACCCCCAGTGGCTCTGAGTGGGAGCCTTGGATGCTGATGGCAGTGGGAGCCTGGGGCTGGGGGTCCTGGGCTGAGCAAAGCTCAGGAGCTGTGTCCACAGTCGCTGGGCTGTCAACCAGAGGGTCCCTGCAGGCTTTTCTGTCCCTGTCCACAGGCCTGTATTCTGGGTCTTGCAGGCCTGAGGGCAAGGGCACTGAAGGTCCCACCTCTAGTGTATGGCCAGGGGCACTGGGAGGCCCATCCCCAGGTGGTCTGGGGCTGCCCGTGTCCATGCAGGGGGCTGTGGGGCCTGGAGTGGCCCCTGGTCCAGGCTGGAGGAGCCCATCACCCAGCACTGTCTGTGAGGTGCGCGCAGCAGTCAGCAGTGGGATCTGGCCTCGGGGTGCCCGTGGCCGGTGAAATAGCCGGTTCCAGAGCCGGCCGAGCCTGCGGCGGGAGGGGCCCCGGCAGGAGGCATGTCGCCTC